ATTAGATTTAGGAGAAATGGGCTCCAAGTACACGACTTCATTCCTAAAGGGTGGTGAGGGTAGCAAGTGGTTGCAAGCGCGCCGCGTTGGGCCTCTTTGGCGGTCCCCAGGGCTGGTTCTCGAAGGGCAGGAAGCGGCAACGATAAACTCCCTCGGTCAGAGCACAAACCCTCTAAGGCTTTGAGCCCAAGGAGACTCTGAACCAAGCACAAACACGAACTAGGAGGGACGGAGAGAACCCAGGCAAGAAACTGGATGGGCGTCTTGCGGAGGAAGATCCAGGCCCCATAGCGAGAGTGGTTTCCTCCTACGACCGCAAGACAAAGCAGAGCCCCGGACAACATACCCTGCCGAGGTTTCTGCCTCCCATGAGCCTGACGGACAGACGCCCGGCCTTCTCCAGACAACTGCTCCCCGCGGCCAATCTGGGGCCAACACTGTGAGGCAGCGGTGGGCCCTTAACCAACCCAACGAGATGTCGTCTGGGCTACCTGATGCCCGCGGCGATGGAGAGTGGCCAGGGCAGTACGCAGTGGCGCCTGCCAGGGGCACCACGTTCGTGCGCATTTCCTTTTGGCGCCAGGGGAAATCCTCAGGCTGCGCTAAACCTAAGGGCGAGGGCCGAGGGCCCGGGCCTCATCTGTAGAGCCCACCACTCTTTTCCCCTCCCGTTGGTCTGGCTTCCGGCCCGGCTCAGCCAGTCTCTCCCGACAGTTTGGGATCCGATCTGGAGAGGCGACTGTAGCCCACGTCGGTACGGAACACACGGTGTTTCCGCCCGCTGGCAGATCGGATTAAGAATTGAAAAGCTCGCTACAGTCCTTGCTTAGTCAAGTTCCAGGTGCCTCGAGAACACCTTCCTAACTTGCATTAGAGTGGCCGGGAGCGAGGCCGAGCAGGCGGCATGCGAGGGAGGGTAGTGAACCCGAGCGCGAGAAGTAGCCCAGGCCGGCGGGCGCCCTCGGTGCGAGAGGCTGCGCACTAATTTTTATTCCAGGCTTTCCACCGTGTGGTTATGTCACTTTCTCAAACAAATGTGTATATGAAGGGAGATCGATGCTGATAATGTTTAGAAGATTAAAAGAGCATTAATGCTGGCAACAATAACGTAAACGTGTGGACCCAGATTTCATTGATCTGGAACCTGATCCGGCGCGTTTCCAGTAAGCCCGACGGCGCCCTCTTCCCAGCAGAGCGCTCGCCAGCGCCTCCCCGGCGCTCTTGCCGCGCAGCTCTCCGCAGCGCTGCTGCTCTCCGCGGCGCTGCTCTCCGCAGAGCTGCTGCTTTCCGCGGCGTTCTTGCCGCTCAGCTGCTTTCCGCGGC